GTTTTTTTTGTTGTGGGTTTTTTTTTTTTTTTTTTTTTTTTTTTTTTCTCCTGACCTTGGCTTGTCCTTTATTTGGAGGCTGCCACAGCGGGGGAGCTGTGCTTGGGGAATGTGGGGGAGCTGAAAGAAAGAGTCCTTCACACTGAGGCCTTTTGTGTCGCAGGGTGTAAACTGCTGGGGCTGTCACCAAAATGCAAATGTCTATTTTTCTACTGCTCTGAGCTACTTTTTTTTTTTTTTTCCCCCAGTAAACAAGCACACTGCACATTTTAACGCCTGCTTCCATCCACCTCTTGGTGTGACTTGTTGCAGAGGTGATGCTGGCCTCACTCATTTGGTGATAACACATCACCACCAGCACAGACAGCGTGTGGGGCTGGGGAAGGATGGTACATCCCCCTTCTCAAGATGGGAAATGGAGACTGAGAGAAGGAAAGGTGCCGCTGGGCGATTCCTAGAATTTTGGGTGATGCTCCTGCATCCTGGCTTAGACCAGGGCCTCCCAGCTGCATCTCAGGGTACTTCCACACACTCCTCCTGGTCGCACCCCTCAGTGAGATATTTCTCACCAGATGGAGGTGTCACTGTCTGCTTCTTGAGCTCTGAGTACTCTGCTTTATGTACAACCCTTGCCTGATTTGGCACTGCAGATTGAACCAAAGAGCCATTTCTCATCACCGATTCATGGGATCACCTCATAGTCTCTACCCCATGTACCAAAACATTTCACCATTCACTGAATCTGGGGGAAAAACCCCCCTTAAGTGTTAAATGCACTTCTAAGCATTTACTTGAGAGCCCCAGTTCTGGTCCCTGTTCCTAAATGCCCTGTTTTAGGCAATGCAGCAACTTTTCTCACCCTTTGCTTGGCCCTGAAGCAGGACCTGGGTGGTGGAAAACCTGTCTATCTGCTGTGTGGTGGGGACGTCAGGTGGAAGCAGGAGGGAGCAGCTTTGGAGTCAGCAGGAGGAGGCACTGAAGACTGCGTATGGATCCGAGGGCCAAATCCAAATGTTCCTCCCCCAGCGGGAATGTCCCCTCTCACTTCTCTACAAGCACGACTCCACTGCAGAAAGGTCTCTTCCCCCCTGATCTTGGCTGATTTTGAAAAGAGAAAGTGTCACCTCCAGCAGGCAGGGAAAAAGGGGAGGCCAACCACTAATGACAGCCAGAGATGGAGATTTTAGCATCTCTGGTTTCTTCCTAGAGCTGCCCCAGCAGTAAGTCACAACAGCTTCTTGGCTGCTGTAGATCACGTCAGTGGGGTTAATACGTGGAAGTCTGGATGTCATTGCTGCCCTCGGTTCCTACCCCGAAGAGCCACCACCTGCTTCTCCTGGAAAGGCTCAGATGGCTGTGTCACGGGGCAAAGTACGGGCAGGCTGTCCCAGCAGGTTCATCTAATGTCACACCACCACCTCGTCACCTATATCTGAGCTCATCAGGTTTAAAACACACTGGGGGAGGGAACCAAATCCTAAACCCACCGTCTCTGCACTGACTCTTAACAGCAGCCAGGACGCAGGGTCCCACACAGGCAGATCCACCTTGCAGATGCCAGGTTTGGAGGAGATGAACACCGTGCGGGCAGAGCACCCAAAACCTCCTGCTCTGTGTCCCCCTTCAGCCTCCCAGAAGAATTTAGGTTGGGAGGGACTGCTGGAGGTCACCTAGTCCAAACCCTTGCTCAAAGCAGGGCACGTGTAGGGCTGCCCCGCTGTGGCACGTCTCCAAAGCTGGACGCCTGAAGCAGGGTTTAATCACACTTACTCTGAATTATTCTTTTTCCCCCTTCCATCTAGTCTGAGTTTCCCCTGCTGCAGCCTGGGACTGCTGCTTCCCATCCCACGTCTGTCTCGGGAGAGGGGGTTGCTTTTCCCCAGGGGAAAACTCAAATCCCCGTGTTCCCGGAGCACTGTCCCTACACACAGTGGGGAAGGGGGACGTCACCGCATCCCCCCCTCCCTGCAGCTTCCCCGCCGTGAATCCCACCCCTCCGCAGGGACATGCAGGAATTTGGGGCCAGATAAAGGGCTGGAAGGGAGGAAGGAGGGTGCGAGCCCCCATTGGGGAGATGCTTTGGGCTGAAGCCAAGGAGCAGGACCACCAACGAGCGGCGTGAGAGGCTTCGCAGAAACTCCCCACTTCCTTGAAATCCCCTCACAGCGCCGTCGCTCCTCCCCAGACCCTTTTTCTTCCCCTTTAGCAGCACCCGGCGTGCAATGTACCTGGTGTGTGGTGTCCCGGCCACCCTCCGCTCCTGTCCCGCTGGCTGGAGGAGCAGGATGGACCCTTTGGCCGTCCACAGCCCTCTGGAGCTTGGCGAGAGGCGGCTGTTCCCGCAGGAGGACGTCTTTCTCGCGGGCAGAGCGACTGCCGGGCTCTCCCCGAAGGGGAGGGACCAAACTTTGCCTTAGTTTTCAGCTGAGACAATCTTTCTGGGAGAGATCTTCCCCGGACCTGGAAAACAAGTTTCCGGCATGGAGCCATCCCTAAAAAACACCGCAGGCCCCAGAGGACCCTGCGGCTGCCGAGAGGCCAGGCTGTGCCTTTGCAGGGCAGGGATGGGTTTAGACACGGGGTTGTTTGCATGGGGCTGTGAATTTCTGGCTTTCCTCGCTGCCCTGCTGCCCAGCGTGGAGGTTGGATCGAGCACCGGGATCCTGGCGAGGAAATCTCCCCGGATGGGTTGCAACATCCCCCCGAGGAGCTGCGACGCTTAGGGCTGGGCAAGGAGGGGAGACCTTCGCCTCCAGGTCCCTCTGTAAAAATCCAACTCTTTCCTTCTGGCCTTATGAGAAAGGGATAACAACCCCCGAGGGAAAACCTTCCCGCTTTTGGGCACAGCTTCTGGAGAGGTTTAAGGTGGATCAAGCACGGACGGGGTGGATCTGTGCACCCCCGGCGTTTGCCCCCTCAATAGCACTGACTTTAGGGAATTAACCCTAAAACCGGTACCGATAATAAAAGATGAGCTTTCTGAGAGATCAAGAGGTTAATCCAGCTGATGAAACAGCCATGGGAGGTTGGAGGCTGGCAAAGGCAGGCAGCAGGGGAGGGACGGAGGGAGGGATGGCAAAACTTGGCTTGGCCTCAGTTGTTTATGAAGCTGCACCTGTGGACCGTCTCCTTGGAGAGCCGGTGAGCTCCTGGGGTGGGATCATCTTCCCCTCCCTTTGCCTGTATGTGTGTGGATATGATCTGAAGCTGGCAGAGCACAAAGGTGCTTGAAATTTAAGTTGTATTTTTAAACTTTGATTATTATTTTTTTTTGACATTTCCTTGGGAAGGAATACGAAAGTTGTATGAAAAGGTGCAAAATTCTTTCTTTTTTTCTGTACTTTTGTCCAGAACTCATTTCAGTGATAGGTGGGATGTATTAAAGTGTAACATTTTCAGGATAGATTTAATGCTGATGAAAGTTGGAGAACAACTCTGAAGACCTCTGCTTAATCTAAAGGAACAGGTTCTTCAAGGTTAGTGAGAGGGAAGGAGGAGGAGGTGTGTGAGTGGTTAAAGTAACAGAGACATGCCCAAGCCAGTGATACTTCTGTGGCCCACTGAGGAGCCCCAAAATTTATTATATTTTTTAATATAGTCAGTTATTCCCAGATGTTCAGAAGTCAAACTCAGTAGAAATCATGTTATGGCTCTTTCTCTTGGATCTGGTCTACGTAGTCTAACCACCTAAGTCAGGGAGCCTACTGAAGCAGTCTGTGAGTCCCTCTGATCTTCATATCTCATCTTTTTCTTACAAGAAAGCAGGGTAGAGATGGTGGTGTGTCCTTCCAGCCTGGATTTGGGATGTGGTTGGGAGGTTTATGGGAGTTGGGGTCAGGGAAACGGCCCCATCTGCTCTGGCTCCCAGGATGTAGCCCCTATGGTTGCAAACCTTCCCTCTTTGGGTCCCTGCAAGATCCAATGTTGCTCCTTTCCAAGATGCTGAATGTGGAAAGCACACCCTTTTCAATCTGTGAAAATTACTCCATGAAGAAAACGTGATGCAAAAGCTGGACCAAACCCTAAAACTCTTCTGTTGCATGAGGGCAATCGGACTAATTAGCTTAACACCAGCTGTTGATATCAGAATATACAAGTTTTCTCCCTGCTGATTTGGCCAGACTGGAGAAAATATTGCCGTGTTTCCATCCTCAGGGATACCACGGTGATCCTTGCAAGCTGCTTAAATCCCCTGCCAGGGAAGCAGCTGGGAAATATCCCCCAACACAGGTGTAATTATTGAAATCCACAGCCTTGCAAGGGCCGAAGAGCTGCTTGCATTTCTTGGTGGGGGTCTGTTGTATGAGCCTGGGAAGTGCAAAGCCCTGCTATGGAGATGAGATTCTTAAGCAACATGGCCTAGCTGCATTATTTGCACCAAAGAAGATCAGAAGATAGTTGCGGAGACATTTCTTTCATTGCAATAGAAAGCTACCAATAATGGATCTGCAGCACTGGCCAGGGAGGAGCCAGTTTCCATGGCAAGTGAGTACCAACAGCCCTGTGGCAAATGTTTGGCCTGAGCTGGCTGTTCGTTAGCAACATCCTGGAGAAAAGCAACGTGGTTTTGCCTTTTATATAAAGGGCTGCACTTTACCTCGGGTTTTCATGGCTGTAAATTCAACATCACCATCAGTTTGTGATCGCTTGTTTGAAGATAAATTATTTTTATTCTTCCTATCATTCCTCTTTCCTTTTTTTTTTTTTTAAGTTTTATAAATCCTGGTTTCTCACTGTGCGTGTCTCATTTTTAACCCAGATGCTGCTTGATCTGTTAAAATTGCTCTTGAGAGGAGCCGATACGTCAGCGACCACCCACTAAACGACCATCACCCTTTTACCAGGCACCTTTCTGAAGAGCGCAGCATGACAGAGCTCCACGAAGCTGTGGCCTTGGGGGACTATGACTTGGTGGATGAGATTTTGAGGACAGGGCGCTGTGACCCAAATCACAAGGATGTGGACTGGCATGACAGGACCCCGCTGCACTGGGCTGCGGCAAAAGGTAAGGGCACTCCCTGCCATGTTACCTCTGGGAACCACAGCACTGGCATCGTAAAAGGCAATGTTGATTGTAATTACATCTTGCTATGATGATAGCAATTAACACTGGTGATAGTCACAGCTCATATATGATCCTTTTGTCCTTAAGGAGGAAAAAAGAAAAATACCACAAAATCACAGAATGATATGGGGTTGGCAGGAACCTCTGGAGATCATCTAGTCCAACCCCCCTGCCAAAGCAGGTCCACCCAGAGCAGGTTGCACAGGAACGTGTCCCGGCAGGTTTTGAATGTCTCCAGAGAAGGAGACTCCACCACCTCTCTGGGCAGCTTCTTCCAGGGCTCTGCCACCCTCAAAGTGAAGAAGTTCCTCCTTATGTTTAGGTGGGACTTATTATACTCAAGTTTGTGCCTGTTTCCTCTAGTCCTGTCACTGAGAACCCTTGAAAAAAGGCTGGCCCCATGCTCGTGACACCCACCATTTAAGTATTTATAGGTGTTGATCAGGTCCCCTCCTCATTCTTCTCTTCTCCAGTCAAAAAAGACCCAAGTTCTTCAGCCTTTCCTCATAAGAGAGATGCTCCAGACCCCTTATCATCTCTGTAGCCCTCTGTGTACCCTTTCCAGCAGTTCCCTGTCCTTCTTGAACTGGGGAGCCCAGAACTGGACGCAGGATTCCAGTTGTGGCCTCACCAGGGCAGAGTAGAGGGGGAGAATGACTTCCCTTGACCTGCTGGCCACACTCTTCCCTATGCAGCCCAGGATTCCGTTGGTCTTCCTGGCCACAAGAGCACACTGCTTGCTCATTGTCATTTTGCTGTCCACCAGGACCCCTAGATCTTTCTCTTCAGAGGTTGCCTCCAGCAGGTCCACCCCTAACCTGTATTGGTGCCTGACATTTTTCTTCCCCAGCTGCAGGACCCTACACTTGCCTTCAAAATAATTTATGGAATTACCACCAAAGTGGTAATTGATTTTTAGCTTTTTTTTTCTGTCCTGTGTGAAAATCTACAATTTACATGATATGTACTTATAGCATGCCTGCTTGTCCCTCATGTTACTTTTCTAAGTGGTGTCTTCATGCAGTGCAGAGGAGTTATTTCTCACGTACACCTACACAAATTAGCAGAAAGTCAAACGCACTCTATTTATGCCAGTTATTTATCAAAATCAGTAAGGCAAAGTAATTACAGCGTGTTTTACATTGCTCTCCCTTTATCCCATCTGGTCAAAGGAACAACACAGGGCCTGAGTTGTTTGCAGCTCCCATTTGGTCCTTCACCACCCGAAGTGTCTGTTAAAGTCAGATATCCCTTTGCAGCCCCGAGAAGAGATGAATGCAACAATATATAATGGGTAATTGTACACAGTGTAAAATGGGAAATGGAACCTGTACTGCTCTGTGCGGGGGTGTTCGTTACACGTTGGGATCTCCCATCATGGCACCTGTCTTTGCCCAGAAATTGTGTGATTTACTGGTTTACACTTGATACCATGCTTTACTTTTGCCCTGATTACTCATTTGGGCAGCAGAAGAGGGAACTGAGCTACTTAAGTAAAGCTGTTTCATGTATATATAGATATACAGCAACATTATATATAAAAAGTTAATGCGTGATTAAAAATGTAAATTGTCAAAGCATGAAATCAGGGAATGAGGATTTATAAATGCTATGACCGTCTGTGATAAACCCAAAATGATAAACACTGAAAACTATGGCTGGCAAGAAAAGCACATTTCCATATCTATAGGTTATTGTGAAAGGCTGGTGAGTTGCTGATGTGGCCCAGGTGCTGTATCGAACATCTAGCTCAGTAAAGGCAGGGTGAAGTGGGCAGGAAACCCGTTTTTTACTTCTTTAAGCAATTCCACAAATTAGAAAAATGTGAAGGTGAATGAAAACAAGTAACTTCCTTATCTTCTGTCAAACAAACTTTTGTTTTAGTAAAGCTGTTCATGCATTTTCCATTTCTTTTAATGTTTTATTTTGTATTGAGTTAAAAACCAAAATGAAGCAAAAAAGTAGTCAAGAGCCAACTAGTCAATGACCAATTGAGATGTACTGTTCAGAAATTAGTAGAAAGCTTTTTTGTTTTATTGCCATTTTTGTTGTAAAAAGCTTCTGGAAGCAATCTGCATTAAAAAAAAAAAATCAGCATTTTTGGATGTGTATCATTTATTTGATAAATCAAACAGCCGGGTCATGGGCGAAATCCATCATTATATGACTGAGGGAATCATGATGAGGTGCGTGCCACCCTCTTTTTCATCCTGAAGGTTTAAAGTTCTAATGCAGGTGCATCTTCTCTCCCTGTTTTGCTGCCCCACACCAGGGCAATCAGAGCTGGTGAGGCTCCTCGTGGACCACGGCGCCCGGCATTGCCTGCGGAGCGACGTGGGCTGGACGCCGGCTCACTTTGCTGCGGAGTCGGGGAGACTGGGGGTTCTTCGCACCCTCCATTCCCTGCACGCTGCCATGGACGCGGCCGACCTCTTCGGAGACACTCCCAGGAGGCTTGCGGAGATCTACGGGCACCAGGACTGCTCCAGGTTCTTAGAAACGTGAGTAGCCACCGCCAGCCCCGCTGCAGCAGCCGATGGGGCTTCAGCAATGAGTAAATTGGCTGCTGTAGAGAGGACCAGAACAAATATGTATCTGGCCTCTATCAGGAATAGCATGGCCAGCAGGAGTAGGGAAGTCATTGTGCCTCTGTACTCGGCTTTGGTGAGGCCTCACCTCGAGTGCTGTGTTCAGTTTTGGGCCCCTCACTACAGGAAGGACATTGAGGTGCTGGAGCGTGTCCAGAGGAGAGCCACCAAGCTCCTATGAGGACCACAAGTCCTATGAGGAGAGGCTGAGGGAACTGGGCATGTTTAGCTTGGAGAAGAGGAGGCTGAGGGGAGACCTCATTGCCCTCTACAACTACCTGAAAGGAGG